ATATATATATATATATATATATATATATATTTGTATAATTATGCAGTTACATCAAAATTCGTTTCTATTTCTCGTATAGTTATAGTGCACTTAATTTGCTTCGTTTTCTAAATATATTTAATTGATCTATAATCGTCATAATAGTATTTACGGATAATACTGTAATGTAAACTCGCTCTAAAATTTTTGTAAAGATGATGATATATATCAGCGACCAGCTAAGTTATGCTTTGTAAATCTAAAATTAAACTTCTGAAGCACCAAATAAAATGGAGTTTTGCCTCAGTAATTCTATTGAACTTTTATGAATTAGTTTGTAAAATATGGATATCTTCTGATGCATTTCAATGTCTTTATTTATCTGGCAATGAATTAATGTACTAGTTTTAAGCCAGAATTAGGATTAGGTTTGCCATCAGTTGCAAAACATTACATATCATGTATTTAAAGTAGTGCTGATTTCAAGAATGGTGTTCAATGATGACTTATTTGATTCCGCTCTAACATCTGGAAACTATGATGGTACTTTAAGAAGAGATGTATGATTTTCAAGTGGATTATTTTGTTTGCCCAATTAGCCGCGGTGTATATTAGAATTGTAAGTCCAAAAAACCAATTCAGCCTTATGCAGGTCTGAAAATATTTGAGGTTTGGTAACTGAACGAGAATCTTCGCAATATTTTCAGTTGGTACTTATTTATACGATCCGGGAGAAATGAGTTCTTCGAAACGTTGTATCGTTTAAAAGTGGTACTAAGATAATTTTGGTGTAAAATGAGTATTAATTTTTGTGAAGTAGATTTGCAAGAAATTCATTCATCCAGGGAATTTGATTTCCCTAAAAAGTTAGTAAGTAAAGAGTAGGACAGAACTTTACGTGCAAAGTAATAACGCCATTTTAAAGCTGATGAAAAAATTTGTGCTGTTTCCTTCAGTGATGATTAGTTTTTTAAACATTACTTATAAATCTGAAGAATTCTGCGCTGTTTTAGCTACTGTTTGTATGGAAGATCGTTTATGATCAACTGGTAATCGAAAATGCAGAGAAATGAACACTGTCGCATGAGATGTAGTTTTGTTGAAGTTTTGAGTTGGAGACAAAAGTTCCTCGCAGCACACACATTCTCAGGTCATTTGAAGTATCAAAACTAGAATTTTGTTGCTAGTGATTGGTCTGACATGGCATTACGAATATTTTATGCGACGTAAGTGAATGAATACTCCAAGCCATAATCATTTGTTTTAATAGTAACTTGAAGTTTGTTTTTTTTGATACTTACATTTTTAGCTACTTTTATTAATTTTGATCAGACTTTTGACATATTGCTAAACTTTGTGAAAAAAATTAAACTTATTTTTAGGCAATTCGCAGTGAAATTCTCACGTATAATTTTTTCTATTCCATAAAAATTAACTGTCATTTATGATTTTGTAAAACAGAATTATTGAGTAATTATCACCAAAAATTGTGACAGTAGCTTTGACTGTCTACACCGGAAATGGTATTCTTGGTACTAATTACTATATGATGCCAGATTTGTACTTTGCTCATCACATTTCAATAACAAAAGGTAGCAAATCAAGCTTACATTAGCTTTTCAGTAGTTTTTAAATCACTTATTTTTCAAATAATTTCTGCAATAAATTTCAATTGAAATTTTTACAAACAGTAGTGCTCTGCAGCGCTCTTACCTTAATATTAAACAGTAAAATATTCAATAAAGATTTACTTCTGTGATGGTGAATATGAAGCAAAGCATCATCAAGTCTTAGACTGCACGACGAAAATTTTCAAAACACCAAAAAATACGTAATTCATGTTGTTTGGCTGAATGAAGCAGCTCATGAGCATCGTAATCAGTTGTTAAATCTTATAACTCAGCTTTGTGTAACGCGAATGAAAACATCTTGTCGATTATCTAATAAGATGTTATTGTCATTAGATTCTTACAAAGTTTGCCACAAAATATTCCTAAATGAAGAAGATAGTAATTATATGCTTTCTAATACTTCTACTGAAGTTTTTCTGTACGGCTTAGCTTTCATTAAATGTCAACTAACATCAGTATAGATCAAATAAGACGAAATGGCTGAATCATTTTGTAATAAAGTTCTAACTATTCTTCTGAGATCATCCGTTCTCATTATTCTTAGCTGCGGATGATCTGAGAAGGATTTTGTCATTAGATCAAAATTTCGCTCATTTTTAGACAGGAATGCATTTACGTTTGCAGCTATCTGAATTTTTACGGCAAACGTGTAGATTTTTCCACGAACGTTAATTGCCTGAGCGAAGAGAACATTGAAGAGGAATTAAGTAAGAATCCTCTATTTTCGACGTATTACAATCGTCCTAAGTCATTCTCGATCCTACTTGATTTTCAAAAACCTCCAGTCTACTTTATATAAGTTGTTATTTAATGAAAATGAATCTGACAGCAATCACTTTAAGAAATTAAGCTTTACTGAGTGATTAAATGTTTTATATTTTAAAAGTTCATACTAAGAAAAATGCTTTTTAGCATCTGCTGTGTTTGGATATGTTTACTGCGAAAATGTTCTTTCAAATCAGCTTTCGTTTCTGCTAGTGCGTTTTGCACATTTCAAGTACAAATTAAAGTCACACTGTGTTCTCGCAAAATTTTATCTTTCAAAATATTTAAGCTATATTAATTTATATAATACGGTTTCAGAACAATTGATAACTGAGATCAATGACATTTTATCAGTCAAGACAGTAATTTCTGCCACAGAAGCCACATAAATAACTATGAAGTTTATGGCTACGAATTTTAACTAGTCTTTATAGAATCTGCAAATAATAGCAGTAAAGAATTTAGTTAATGCCTTCTTTAAGTCTATTCTATAAAAGACTTTAATATTTTAACCTTTATAAAATCTTTATAGAATCTGCAAATTCAAAGCCTGAATTATATGCTTATTAATTTCAATTCATTTTCTATTTTAAGTGATTCGCATTTATATCCATAATGACAAAGTCACTGAATTGCATACGCCAAATAAAGCGCGAAAGTTCGTTTTTCTTCTTTGAAAATTTTTCTTAGCTCATAAAAGCTACGCTTTTTGTAATATTTTTTGTTATAAGGAAATGAACTAAAAATTTTTAATGTTATAAAACTCGAAAATGCATACATCTATGTCTTGTTCTGCACCTCTAAAATTTTTACGCTTCGTGTAGTTTTGTGGTAAAAACATTTTCTAGGAAATTGGTAATACTTTCGCAAAACAATCACAAAAAATAATTTTTCCTAGCAAATGTATTTTTTACGATTTTGTAATCACATAATCACATAAGAGTGCAGACTAGTCTTGAAGCTCCTTATTCGGACTCAAAGGTTAGATGATAAACCTTTTCAGTTCTTAGTGTCTGTTGTCTGAGTTTGAAGTCAAATAAATTTTTGTGTCATTGAGTTTTTCTTATCTCTTTTTGTGTGTCAGTAATTGGTTCTTCGAAATAGATGTAAAAATTGCTTGCATGTAAATTTCAGAATTTTCGAAAACAGTATTCAAATTCAGTGGGATTTTTTCAGGCTTTATTTGGTATTTTAGTCAGTTACATTTTATTGTTTGCTGGACGTGTATGTGCGGTTAATTTACTGCGGCATAGTTTGCAGAAGTAATTTGGAAGTAGTTTATTTTAATTGTTTGCTCAGAGTATTAAAGTTCACTGAAGTCTTACGTCATTTGAGGGATTTAGATTAATCTCCTCGTTATTTTTAACAAATGTGATCACGGAATTGTATTTTAGCTGATAGCACACGTGATCAATATGTTGACAGCAATCTTTATTGAATTTTGTGCTTGTGCTAAAGAAATAGCGCCTTCGCTGGTAATGACGCTGTCAGCTGTAACAATTATTTCTGTTTTATTGTGCAATCTGAAGAAGAATAAGGTTAAGAAGCATCCGAGTTAGTTCACGTGAAACTTCTCAATCCCTTTTCAAATTATAAAACTACAGTTCAACCTCATGAAATTAGTTTAGCGCTCTACAAAAGTTAAAAACAAAAATTTGGTTTAGTAACCTAGTTACAGTACAAATTCAGAGTATCAATCTAACACTAGTTTCAGGTCGTTTTGCAATTTAGACTCTATTTTTCAGTTTTTAAGCAAACAGTAAAGCAGATATGAGATATCAGTTTTAAAAAACTTTAATGTTAAGATGGTGAGAGCTTGATAAATTTCGAGATCACTCATTTTTTACAACTATTTATGACTTGCTTTACTTTATTTTTAGTGTCAGTAATGAACCAAATTTTTCATTAAAATTCTGTTGGATTTTTTGTATTTACAGCTAAATAAAAGGGGATCTTAAAATTGAAATTCATAGGATATCAACTGGTTGTTTTGTGGTTGTTATTATTAAAGTATTAAATAATAGATAATGTAACGGTGGAAGGAACTGTGCGAGTATCAGTTCATGGCCCATTTTCCAATAAATCTGATCCAGTATTCCATAGTTCCTCGAACTCGTTAGTTTCTAACTTTCTGATATCAAAGTTTATTTTGTATGTTTTAAAGATTCATTTGTATTCTCCAGGGAAATACAAAAAGTGAGACTAATTTATTCTTAGTAAACATTAACTTCAGCAAAATAAGGTTTTTAGATCCTTCTAAGAAAATGATTAGTGACGTTTTCTCTCATGAAGAATGAGTGTGTATTTTATCAATGTGTATTTTACTTTCTTGTGTATTTTACTTTCTTTAAAAACATTGTGAAAAAACGATTATGAGTTAAGCTAATTTTACAATAACGATTTTACAGAAAAAGTACAAATCTGGGTGTGGGACCGAGTATTAGGAGGTCATTAGATCAAAAGAAACCAGCAAATGATTCGCTTCTTAAAGAAAAAGATGATGGAACTCCTTTACTCAGTGAAGCTACTACCGAAGAGGAAACTGAATTAAAGGTGATTTCTTGATAATCAATAAAAGTAAGGTCAATAACTGACTTCCTTTTTGATCATCTTTTCTGATTGAATGTAATATATGTTTTTGAAGAAAATGGAATCAAGCACACATCGTTCTGATAGCACTCAAAAATCAAAGGAATCACAAAGAATTATAATCAAAAGTCCAGCAATAAAACATTCAGTTGAAGGACTCGAGGAGGTAATTTTCAATCTCAGCTGAGAATTAAGTGCTGATATTCAGTGAATTTTTATACGATACTGACTGATCAAAAAGTCTACCAGAAAAAATCCAGAGAATGTTTAAAGTTATTAAGGAAACAATGCAGTTTTAATTCAATGGGATTTGGAATGAGTTCATTCCCTACTGACCAGAGTGATTATCAAGTTTGCAGCTCATTTGATAGTGTTGAATATATACAGTAATCGAAATTCAACCAGCCGTTTTAGGACCGTCTCTCAGATTTAGCGATTGACTCAAGCCAGAAATCAAGTATTGAAGTAGATTCAACAATGGATGATTGCAATTATTCTGCTGAAACCAAGCCTAAAATTGTTAAGGAAATAAGCAAAGCGAATTTGTTTAAGTGCAAAAAGGTATTTATAAACGATAATTTTGTTTTCACTTTTTATATATTACTTAATATTTAATAAATTTCTTCAATTTAGTATTAGATGCTGTAGTTAAATCAGTGCATTACCGGATCACAGCATTCACTGCGTCAAATTCTTTCCACTAAATTCGCCTTTTCTTTATAAGAAAAGGGCATAGTGAAAAGTATATAAAATTTTGCACTGAATAGATCTATCAACTATTAGATGAAATGTAACATTTATCGTCTCATAAATTTTTTAACTTTAGTTAAAATTAGTCAAATATTTGACCACTTTGGATGTTTATAAAAGATTAAATTTGCATTAAATAAAGAGTTCAGAATAAAATATAAGACTAAATCGATACTTTATATTAAAGTACTATAAGAAATCACGAATCTAAACAAGGAAAAAATTGAATCTTTTAATTTTTGGAATACTTTTTTGTAAAAATTAACTCCACTTGATTTTTATGTAATGAAATTATAGGGTTCATGGAAGACAATAGAACACGCACCAGAAGTTGTAAGTAGTAAGAAAGAACAAGAAACCACTAACACATCATCAAATCCTTCTGATAAGAGTTCTACTAGAGATGAGAGGATGCAACTGCACACGAATGATACGACTGAATCCGACCAAGACTAAAAAACAAATTTTTATCGTATTGTACATTTTTAATTTTTTAATCCTCATTAATGTAATTCTATTCAATTATATTTATCGAGAAAACTGGATTTTAGGCTTGTTTTCTAAGATTATTAACTTGCTTAAGCAAGATGACCCCATTCGACTTATTTATCGTTCTTTTGTTTGGTTCTCAAATTGAAGTGATCAAAACGGTGACAATTTGATCATTCTCAGTTGATTGTCCTCACAATTAAACTCAGATTCCAAAATTGAAACACAATTGTATGAAATATATTTATTAAAAAATATTCTGATTTTGAAAACATAATTCTAAATGTATTTTAAATAATATTTGAAAAGCGGGAACAAATTACATTCAGTAATAAGATAACATTTACATAAAAAATCAACAACTTTTATTAATTTTGTTTGCTCTGAAAGTAGATTGTATAAGCTAAAATATAAATACAAAGTGCTGCAATCGCTTATCTGAATATTTCCGGCTTTCTTAAAAACTAGCGGGAATTGGAAAATTATAATTTTTTATTCAATAAATGTTGTAATAGTCTGTTTCGCTTATAAACTTGCACTAAAATATTATTGAAGACTGTAAAGCTGAATTACAGTGCATTTTTTCTGTTAAAAATGATTTCATTTTAGAATCTAAAATAGTCTTTCCAATTCTAATTTGCATATTGATCAGTGTAGTACTGTTTCACTGCAGCGTTTATTGTTTCTTTATATTTGTTGCACTAAAGTCTGTTGAATAATTGTGTTCATTGAATGTTCTTATTTCTGTATCTAGCTAGAAAAAGTTAAATTTCTACTCTAAACCGGTTTAAGGTTTCAGTACGTTTGTGTAGTCTGTACAGTTGGGTCAATATTCATAGTTTAGCTCATTTACATAGATCAAGCAATGAGAAATATTCATTTCCAGCAAAGAATGCAAGGAATTTTGAAAAAGTTTGAAAAAAAATTTGATCGTTTATGAAAATGTTCACTTCAACAATTATATAGTCAGTAAGTTTAACTTATTTATATCCTATCCTCCCCAATGTGAGAAATAGAACTCAGAACAGTGGCAAATACTTTTAGTGCTACAGTTTCAGTCAAGTTTGTATTCAATATGCAGAAACATCGTGCCTTATTATAGTGACTGTGAATCGCACTGTTACATCGAAGGTTTCTATCTGAAGATGAGAATCACTTGTAAAGTAACAATTAAAGCCGTGGCGATATTTTTGGCAATTTTATTTTTGATAAAACATTCCTTTCATAATTGGTCGTTTGAGCATTTTGCTGGCAAATTACATGAGAATAACGAAGGTAAGCACCTGCAGTGAGCTTGCTTTTAACTTTCTAGGGAAATACTACTTGTTTCCTTCAATTGCATTTGTATTATGTTCAAATTTAAATAAACGCGTGAAACTAAAAAATTTTTCATTTACTTCGAAATAACATTGTAATTTACCAACATTTGTCAGCTATAACTAATTAATATCAAAGTATTTTCATAAGCGCATATTAAAAAGCGTATTATTGTATACAATTCAGAGCGTAAGAACCAGTCAACCTGTATTCTACCAAAATTAAATCCGTATGATGCACAAGTGCTACCTTTTTTATCGCCTAGCTGGAATCCACTCAAAAAGTGTAAAGTCTCAACAAAAATGCATACTGAATTAAAAGACGGTGTACTGAAGCAGCTTATTAATTCGTAAGTTAATTTTTTCAAACAGATATGATACAAGCTGTTGTTAACTTATGCATCGAGTCTTTTTTTGAAGTTCTTTCAAAATTATTTTTGAAAATCAAATATTTTTTTAAATTTTAAATTATGATGGCAGATAAATTCACGCTGTGCCAAATTTGTTCGAATTTTAAAAAACAAGGATTTTTGAGGAGGTATGACATTTTTTAAAAGTTGTATGACTGTTGAAAGTTAGAATTTATATATTTGGATGTAAAGAACCAAAAATTGCGCTTTTATTATACTTTGCACGACATTATAAATGATGTTTGTTATACGAATTGCTCTTTATAAATACATTCTAAAAATTTGCATACTAATACTATAAATTAAAAATGATTAACATCATGGTATGTTTTATGTTTTAGAACTTCAACATGTTTTTATCGATGCTTATATAGAAATGCAGAAGATAGATATGCCGCAGGAGAATGGTTTCTGATGCAAAGCAACAAGTCATATCGTGAAGAATGTGACTTCATTGAAATTCATTGCTGTACTTTTGTCCGAACAACTTTTCGTTACATACATTCACAGGTTGACGTTTGTTTGCAAATCAGAGCATAGTAAAAGATAAATCAAACAAAATGGATCATCTAAGCTACTGAAATTCAGTAATGGTGTAATCATCGGTGTTATGTATTTTTGGATAAACTTTGAATAATCGCAATATATCTTTTGCTATGAAGTTCAATTTCGGTAATAAAATTTAAAAATTTTTGCCTTTTTCCAGAATTTGTCTCTTTTAAGGTTCATAAACCAAAACTTAAGCATTTTCAAGCAGAGGATATTTCTCATCCCAGTGTTCTTATATTTCTATTGGATTCTGTTTCATCTTCAACTGCAACTAGATCCGCTTCCAAGACTATTAAGGTCATTATCATAAATTTGAGCTCAATTATAAGTCATTCAATTGATTATTAGCGCAATAAAAGTCAATTCTAAGAGAAATTTCTTACTGTAAAAATTAATTTTCTTAGAAAGTAAAAAACATTTGAGTGATTGCAAAATCAATGCTTCTCGAGTTTAAATCATCAGATTTTTAAGATTTACGACGCTAAAGCTAAGTCTGCTTTTACTTTTTACTTATTCTTTAGAATTCATTTTGATTATTTTAACTGTTCACTCTCAGGTGCTTCGCGAAAATTTTGAAGCAGTGCAGTTCCATTACCATAATAAAGTTGGTTTAAACAGTCGACCAAATGCATTCGCAATATTCGCAGGTCCTACACTTTTGTTCTGAACAAGTTTTTAAAAAATTTAATTGACATGAATAACTCTGGCGACTATCTGATGAAAGTTCATTTCTTAGATCCATCTTGCATTTCTTCATTAGTTCTAACTCATTAATGTGTCTTACCTAATCATTATGTCTTGGTACAGGTGTCCGAACAGCATTTTTAGATGCGGATCGGTTTTTAGAGAAAAGTGTTCCTGAACTGATCGATTCTTGTCGGGTTAGTTGATTTTAGTTAATGTGAATTTCACACTAATGGAAAAAATGTTTGATTTGCTTTTTCAAAAGTATTATTTAAAATTATCGTCAATCAATCTTTAATTTATTTAAGAGAATGTCTTTGTAAATTAATGCCAACACAAATATTGTTATATTTGAGTATATTCTACAGAAATAATAATGCACAGAATATTTAAAAATATTTACAAATTAATAACAGCACGGTAATTTGAAAAAGAGCTAATGGTTACATGCCATTAGATGGAACTTACGAAAATTCTTAATTTAGAAAGGACTCAATAGAGAGGAAACTATAACATTTGATTTCATCAACAATAATTACGCCACGCTAATCACGGAAGATTGGGTTGGTGCGTTTTCATGGCCAGACTGTGTTGGATACGGTTTTGCTCCAACGGATCATTATACAAGGTTAAATTTTATTTCACCTTTTTTTCGTATATGTGTGACTAACTTTGTGATAAAATCTAAAGTATTTACAGTCCTCTGATTATACGATCAACAAGCGGCCGGCATAAAACTGTTTTCGACAATTACTTCTATTACGGTAGATGTAAAGAAACTTTTCATCGAGTTGTAAATTACGCTGGAAAGTTTCTTAAAGTTTATGAGAACATTGCAAAATTCGCTGTAGTTTGGTTGAGCCACCCAGCACACAATACAATTAATGGCGTCTATCGCATCGATGAGGTTTTAAGCAATCTTCGTGTTATTTAATTTACGCAGTGCTTTAAAAAATTCTTAGAAATGCAACAGATCAAAGCTATGCTATGGATCTGGAGGAAATTAAGCACATTTTGCTCAGAAAAATGCACATGAATAGAAATTTATTCATTAATTAAATAGTTACAGAGATGGTAGGCATTCGATATCAAATATTACATTAATATTCATACATTATTTTTTCATTCTTAGATAAGATAACTAACTGTATGGTAGTGAAGAACATTCATACAACAACAATTTATTAAATGTTCATCAGATATTCAACATTTAAGGATGGATTTTGTTTTTTTGAATCAGTTAATTGGACCAATAATGAATTGATCCGAATGAATTAGATTAAAAATATCAAATATTTATAGTTCCTTGCAAATTTTTTCCATGACAATATGAAACTACTAGAAGGGAGTTTCGTTTTTTTCATGAGTGATCATGGACTCCGTCTGGGAGCAGTCCGTTCAACTCAAGTCGGTTATTTGGAAGACAATAATCCTCTACTTATCGTAAATAACTTTACATTTATACAGTTTGATTTATATATTTATTGTTTTCAGTTATAACAGAAAGTGTTTAAATTTTATGACATAAAAGAGATGAAAGTTTTCGAAATTCTTAAGTGTACAGTTTTGCATTCTAAGAATCTTAAAAATAGCTTAGAACTAAGACTTAACCTTCAGGTAGCCGTACCAAAGTATCTGAGAAGAAATGCTCAACTTATGCACAATTTACAACTTAATAGCCAAACACACACCTCTCATTACGATATCTTTGGAACTTTGTACGATATAATTCATACAGCTCAGGAGACGCAGTTTCAGGAGTGGAATATGAAGGATTTCAGGTTATATTATAAAAATTAAAGATGTTGACGTTGTTTTGCATGTGGAAATAACAATTAAAAACTACTCAAACTATCCGTTTTTTCTTCGAGAATGTTTTAAAGATACAAAAATTCGCATTTTTTTCATGTCCGCGCAAGAAAAAATTTTCTCTACTAATTTGAAATACATTCTGATATTCCATTTTCAAATCCGGAAGAGCTAGACTAATTTTATTGTGTGAGCATAAAAAATATATTGAGGAAAGAATATTTAAGGAAGAAAAAAGACAAAAAATACGTGTGAAATTGGTGCATCATAAATAATGTGTCCAAAAATGCACATATTGCTCTCTTACTTGCATATTTTTTATGTCTATAGAAAAAATTTGCGGATTGTCGTCGTATATGCTAGAGAGGAGTAATTATTATAACACATTTCAATACTGTTTTACAATTGCTAATTTTACTGCCATTATGGAGTAGCATTATACTTGCAAAATTAAGTGAAAAGATTTTCAAAATTTAATACAATTTGAAGAGTTTGTGATTTTGCTTTCGATCATTTTTGTTAACCTGAAAGGAAATTATTTCCTATTTTGTACAAAAAAAGATTACAATACTGTGTGTACGAATTTTCCATTGTGACTTAATATAATGAGATATGATATCAAGAACTTTAAGTATTACTGCTAGTATTATTTAAATTTAGAAAGTGCATCAGAAGATGGTTGAAGCTATCGAAACGCTGATTTCTTTAAAATTTCAGAAATGAACTAGGGGAAACGAGAGGTAGCTTTCGGACTAGAAGTCTTTTACGGCCAATTATGCTCAACAGGTCTTTTAACAGTTACAACAAATTAAATATTACAAAGCAAACATAACAGATGTAATCAGTAACAAATCATTTTTTGATTTGACAGAACTTGCGATGAGATGGAAATACCCGATGAGTTTTGTTTATGCAAACGAGGATTTCAAGCGGTCAGCAAACATAGTGAAGTAGTCAAGATGGCTGCGCGACATTTGCTAGAATTTATTAACAACAGAATAAAAAGATTTGGTTTGCAGACTTCGTGCAGTATTCTCTCATTATCAAATGTGAGTGTACTTGCTGGTGATAACAAGGTTTTTGGTTAAATAAAAAGATAAATTTCAAGGAGATGCATTTGAAAAGGAATTAAAGAGTATCCTTTCAGACATGCATTTTGTTTTCCATTTACACAACTGACAATAATTCTAACTACAATTAAAATATTTTCAACTCTGACTAGAATCTGTCATAGCATATTAACATTAAATAATGCTCTTTCTATTACTATATAATTTGACTTTTATTGCGCCAAGAAAGCACTGAGTTTTTATTATGTTTTTACAAATATGACCAAAGTTTTATTACTAAATACTTTCTTGTTTTGTATTAAAACAAGAATTTCGACCCAAATATGTCCATTATAATCTTCTAATGCGGCATATCTGAAAATCAATCTGTATCAGTTCAAGCATGCAAATTTTCAGATTTTTGTTGCGGAGAAGTCAGAAGGTGGTGGACGATTACGTTTAGTGATAATAACAACTCCTGGTAATGCTAAAATTGAAGCAGAAATGAGAAAAAATTATAGTCAATATAATATAATTTCCACATCTGTAAGCAACTTTAAATTAGTTATCGTAAAATTTGTTTGAAGCGTTTTTCATAATCACTCAATATTTTTTCAGAACTTTCAGTAATTTCTGTGTTTCACTTTAAAAATTACCAGATGAAAAGTGACTTGTTTTTAAGACGTAAAAAGTTGGTTGCCTTTGCTGCTCTTTAATCATCGTTGGAATTAGCGATCGCGGCAGTTTTCATTTCTTTAGTGATTGTAAAGAAAATCGTAAATACTCTTTGAAGAATTGTAGCACTTTTTGTTAACTTGTGAATAAGTTTGCTGACGTCTTAGTATATACTTAATTACTTCATAAATTAGGTAAATTTAAGAAATTCATATGAGTTACAGGTCAATAGGATCAATCAATATGCAGAACAAAGTAAGTGCATAGAGGATCAAAAATCTATCATCCAACCATTCTGTTATTGCAAGGATCATTCCTTTCACTGAAAAGCATTTCGTACTGATAATCATTTGTGCTGAAAATTTTAATCTAAAACTGATAATTGACTTCAGTATGTTATTTTGTAAATTAAAGAATGATAACGATTTAATCTTCGAATCAGCTGTTGAGTGATAAATTCTTTTTGTAAATTATAGCAATGAAAATTTGTTTTGCCTTAGTTATACTTCTTTGCTTTTTTTCTTACAGTCTTAATTATTATTGAGTAGTTCAGAGTATTTCACTCATCGTTTAAGCTTAAATACCTTGATACTTTGATGTGTACTTTGAAAATCACTGTTAAAATTTGTCAAATATACAAATGCAAACTATTTTGAAGACTTTCAATGACATCATTTTTCAATTTTTCTAACAACTAAAATTTTATCACAATCTGATTGCATTAGCACTACTTTAGCTTAAAAATATACATTTGAAATCAAAGTAGAGTTAAAGCTAAATTGCTCGGCCATTAGATCGCAATGTGAACTATAAGTGCTCATGTAAAAATATAAGATTGTATGCTCAACGAGGAAATCCATACAATATTTTGTTATTTTGCAGCTAATGACCGACCGTCTACTTTTTTTGAGGTATTGACTACCAGAAAAGCTACTGAACATCAAATAAATTCAGCATGACTGCTTCGCATGATAGCTGAAAAGCTGCAAAAGATTAATTAATTTAAGAAGTAAAATATAAAAGTTTGAAAGTTTGTCTAATATGGTTCATAAGTGAGCTAAGAGGGGTGAAAGGGTGACCAAAAACACATTACTTTTACAACAGACTTTGTGAAGCAAAACAAAACACATCACAATAACAGCTGTGAGTACCTTCTCATCATCAGAGAATGAATGAATGAGTAGTTGTAAAGTGCTGCTTCTTGAGACTTTTGGTTAGTAGTAGAAGATATCAATCTCGCTCGAGCTGTGCTGTGCTGTACTTCTTGCAGCAAACTTTCGCTCTCGGCCTAAGTATTATTCACTCGAGCTGTTACTGCTGTTGTTGTTTCTTCTTGCAGATGCTGTCGAAGCCGAGTAGAACAGGCTTATATCCCTGCTAGCAACAATCTCTGACTCCAGTCGGTACAATACTTTGGTATTTTGATGTCAAATGACATAAAAGTTTGCAACGCTGCTCACAGTACTCCTTTTTTTATACTTTAATTGTTAAAAGGTAGATAGATAGATAGAAGATAGATAGATAGAAGATAGATAGATAGATAGATAGATAGATTGATTGATTGATTGATTGATTGATTGGAGATAAATAAATTGAAAAGTGAATGAATGACTTCATATTAGTAGTATTGAACACTATGGATGATACTTTTTCTTATTAATGAAAGGAAAGAATCACAGTTTTACACTGTCAGTAATTTTAATAAAACTAGAATTTTGCTTGAAACGAATCCACTTGCTTGGAAAATGTGAAGCTCGAAAATTCTACTGTGGAAGTACGATTCCTCACGTCCATTGTAGTTTAAAAGTTGCATCATCCCACCTTAAGAGGTAGGCCAGAATAAATGAATAAGCAGTTACTATTCATGCCTTACCGCTAGAAAGCAAAATTATTTGTGATATTAGGATAATAATATTGAGTTTAAGACATTAGTTTTAATTTAAGTTTATATAGTTTTAATAGGCTTAGATGAATTTTATCTCTCTGCTTAAATTACTATTATGAATGTAACATTAATCATCAGCAATACTCTTAAGCTTTTCATTGCTTGCATTTCTTACATCATATCGATAGCTTCCTATAACCTTACGTACGTAAGATAAGTGGTCATTAACGTCTCTTTTTGAAAAGTATTTTTATTTAATACTCTTGCAATTATCAGTGTTTGAAGTAAGAATTTGGAATGAGATAAGCTGCTCCTGAAAGTAAGATTTGTTAACACTGTGAGACAGATATAATTTTTCTTAATAGCTCAGGGTTTTCGCAAATTCGTCTTCCTCCAGCCTGTTAAATTTCTCCAGTTATGTTTAAATATAACTTCACATTTATGTCTAGAAGTGGCGATAAAATTGACTGTCTAGAATCAGACTTCAAGCTGATATAAAACTTATCCCTGTATTGATTAATTAGCAATAAAATTTTTAGATTTATCGTTAACATATTTATCAACAAGCTCTGATAAAAAAATATTTTATTTTAACAATTTAATTTTCATTAATATCATTTGCTTGTAGCACTTTAATTAAGCAATTTAAAAACAAAGTTTTACATCTATCTGGAAATGAACAAAACTTAAAAAATGATTGGAAAATCTCTGAAATTTGGGACATAGTCTGATCGTGACCTTCAGATAAGAAGTAATTGAATAGAGTCAAAAATGCCGAAAACTTTCAGTAAAACAATTTCGGATGTCTCAGTACGAGCCGTGGTATTTGCGCAGGCGATGTCCAGTATTTTGCTATCCTTGTGTGCCCATTTATGTTGGCATTTGGCCAGCGCGGTTAGTAATTTATCAAAATATTATTTTCTACTCATTAACAAATCTTTCACTGCACAACTTGATATTGCAGAATTATTAATGAAAACACGTGGAAATAAAAAAGCTAAAACGACTAATCTCAATTATGAAGTTTTTTAGGAGATGTGTCGTGATTCTGGGTGCTGTTTTATTTGCCATTGGTGTGATGATTCTACTTGGATTGTTGCTTACTTGCATCGCCGTTGAATGCTATGCTATGTTTGTTCGCTACTTCTGAAATTCATCAAATGTGTTTCTTTGAAAATTTAGCACTAAAATGTTATTGTTGAAACATCTCACTACGAAGCTTTATTTATTTAATTATGTATTTGATGTTCAGAGAAAATACATCAAACAGAAATGAAAAATAATTTCTGGCTAATCAGAAAGTATAAGTGATTATCGAAAAACTGTTAATTTTTAAAATACGACACTTTTCCAACTTTATAAAATTCTGTGTTCAGAGTTAGCTTTTAAAAAGCATAGCGAGGACAGCAAATGTAACAAACAAAGTTTGCAGCGCAGGTGCATTAATGCCGTTAGCGCTGATATTAATTATTGTCGGCATATTAATATTACATTGTGGATGGGCTGCTCATCTTCTCGATGAAGGAGGTGCTGTAGAAATTCCGTGAGTGACTTTCAATCTCACGTTATTGTTCACATTTTTTAACTTTAAATTTTATTTACTTTCTTTATTTTATTTGATTACATGCATGGTTTCTATCTACCTACAATTTATAAACTGTCACCATTGCTTATTTATGTTACTGAATATCATTGTTAATAGTGAAGACCATAAGGAAGGTTGAAACATATATAAGTTTCTTCCATTCAGATCGAAGGTGACCACAGTACAGGAAGATGAAAGCTTAAATCGGGATGAGCTAGCACTGTTCGAGAGTGCTTACAAGGAACCAATGCCTGAGGTATGCGAGTATTAAAAGTAATATTCTAAAAAATAAAAATAAATCAGTACAAAATTTGGAAAATGTTATTGCGCGTTTTTACTTTATATGAAATTGCATGTAAAACACTTTTAACTTGGTATTTCTCAGGAAATAACTAAAATAATGGATTGAAAGAGCGACAGAAATAATTCGAAAGATTCTTGAAGGAGAACTTTTGATATTTGGATTTTGTTCTGTGCGCAGAGAGCTAAAAACAAAGAATGGCAAAAACTTTTCGGCATGACAATTTCCCATATTTTTTATTGAGATGAAATAGTCATTAATTTTAGATCAGGCAAGGTTACTGGCAGTTCGAAGATAATTTGGCTTGGCAAACAGTTGCTAATCCTTATCCAATACAGTAAATAACCAGCTTTTCTGATTAAATTTACATCACTTCGGAATTGAATTTACAGATTTTTCGATCTAAAACTTCTTAAAATCTTGTTATCTTTTTTTTAGTCTCTGATCTAGTTGTAAATTTTTGCAGACATACTCTGAAAAATACAGTGAACCGTTTGGAATATTGAAGTTTAAAGAAGATTGCGAACAAACAACCGATTCATAACTTTTACGGAATCCGCGTCTAAAATCTCTATCATGTACTTTGCATGTTTGTAAATTTAAAGCATGCCTAATATGCAGTGATGAAGCATAATTTGTGCTTGCTTTGAAGAGATTCAGAGGTATAAAAAGGTAATTGAGCATATAACTAACATTAGTCTATTATTATAAAACATAATGAAATCTTAAGCGCATTGTTGTACTATTATCTTTAAATCATAAATAAAGTCATAAATCTTAAGAAAGTAATTGTTATTTTGTGAAGTGCAATTATTTTTCACATTTTTCCTGCCAAATAAGTTTTTTAAGCTTTAAAATATTTAAGTCATTGTACTTCAAAGAAAAAGGCTTTTGTAAATCGTTAGCTAATAACAATTTCTTGTAATACGAAAGTTTTTGTATTGAGACAGAATGTGAAGTGATGGAGGTGAAAAAAATATTAACTTCGCTTTGCAGTGAGAAAAATTACGACTTGTTTCCTCGACGAAATTAAACCAATCTGATGTTGTAAGAAACGTTGGATTCTAAACATGATATCAAGTTTGAAACTCTAAACTTTGATAGACCAATCCATTGAGAGAAAGGTTCTCAGTAATTTATCCATATTATCCTCTTAATTGCATTCTGAACGATTCATTTTATTTTTGTAGGGTACAGAATTTGGAGCAAAAGATAACGTTCTCCTTTCACTCCACTGAATCATATCTTCTCCTCTTCCAAGTTTATGCTTTCTCTCATTCTACTGAACTCTTGTAATAAAATGTCTCAGTTAATTAACTGTAGTACATAGTGTCATGTTGAAAGTAATTTTTGCATACCACGTGTGTTCACTAACCTAGCTGTTAAGTGTTATGCTTGTCTCATTCATGACTGATAAAATTTTTCATTTCAGAGTTGCGGTTTAATTTAAAGTTAATATAATTATTTTCTAAGCTGTTAATGAGAAAATAAATTTGGTTTAGTGATCTATTAACGTCAATATTTTTTATCTAGTATTGTCTGTGTGTTATGAACAAATAAAGATTATTAAACGGAAAAATGCACACAGCTTATAACTACCAGTGTACATAGCGCGATAAATATGAGATTACAGACGTATTCGCAGTCACCTTGAACATACTTGTATCCATCCATCAAATGTCCATTAATTCTCTGTAACCACGTGTAAATAATGTCTATCATTACGCACAAGTCATATCATTCTACGCATACTATGTAATTATTAATAATCGGTAAACCACAAACGGTCGTTGTCGTAATCACTTCAGGCAGTTTCTTGAATTTATGACGCAATTACAAGCTGTTACAGTTCGCAGTGACCACTGCTTGCTCTGATTAACTAGCTAAGAGTACTTGCTTTGATCATTTTCTTTACACATGTTTAATGTTGGAAAAGACAATGTCCGATAACTAAGCCAGTTCTCGTTCTCAATTTTTACAACACGCTTATTCCTCCTGCTAGTTACAATATATACACACATATGTTTGTATGTGTGTATATGTGTGCATATGTATGTATGTGTGTGTATGTATGTTACATATGAGTGTAGGCGTCTTAGTGATTAGACAGATGAACACAAAATTAGAAATAGATTTTAGGTTGCGATGCAAATTGAGCAATCAACAATTGCTTCTACTCAATTGATGAACAGAGGAATGGTTGGAAGGATCGACCATTGCTGTGGTGAGATCTGTGAAAGAGTTCGGAATCCTTTCTCACCTGAACAGTAGCTAGGGAACGAACAGTGTATTAACTTTATCGTAACCAAGTGTAGCTTATTGCGTCATCTATTTTAGAAATAGACATTTTACTATCTTCCCTGTGTTTGTATTTCGCGCATTCGATTCGTGGCTTGTTTTTTGCCAACATTACCCATGCTAATATTTTCATTTCTTGTGTTTGGTTATTCAAGATACAGTTCTAATGAGGGTCACAGTGAGTTTACAGTTTCGTAGAGTAAAATAACTCTTTTTCTAGCAAAATATTTCACTGCGATCATAATGATCATTTAGTGATATTACTACCACTTTGCAAAGGAAGGGTGATAGCGACAAGTGATGAATGAAATTAGATTTTGTTGATACGAGCAAAAATTTTCACGATCTCGGCATCATTTCTTTCTTAAATTTGATTTGAGTTGATTTCTTCTTTTTCAACATTATGAAAAATGGCACGTGAAATGCTTGCGTATCTACTGAGTAGTTAATTCTTTGAGTATTTACCTCTAACTTTACTTACAAATGCAAAACTTTCACTTGCAAATGAATTCGGAATGTCTCCATACATCTTTTCCAATCATGCCAGTTTCTGGACTTTTACGGTACAAGGTCAGAAACTGAATTAAAGTTATTGTCAAAAGTTAGGAATGTTCTCTAAACTGCTGTTGCAAATGCTATTGATCTCGTTCGAGATGGATTAAAAGCTAAAAATCGAAAGTTACCAATTTCGTTCTAAAGATCAAGAGTTACCGTAATGTCTAATCATGAGGAGAATTCAATAATGAGATAGAATTTCGGTGCACTTTCCTTTCTCGAAATTTCTCGAATGCCTGCAACAATTAGCACAGACAGGCCAGCCAGATGTGATGGAATTGGTACTTTTAAAAATATTAGTGCTTGATTCGACCTTTTTTCGAAGGAACTATGAGAAGACGATCTGGCTTCATCTGTGTTAACTATGACTTTGCATATTTCCGTTTCTATTTGAACTGCTTGATTTGTTCGGATTTAGATCATATATACTTTGTGTTTAACCTATTTTTATTGTAATTCAAGAGAACTGCGAAAGTAAAATAGAAGGCACTATTTACGTCTCGATACTTATCAACTATATTGCTGCATTTATCTCACGTGAATGCTGACTATATTTGAGTGTCATCTCGTTATTGTTTGAATTTTTGTCATAATTGAGCAAAAAATGAAACATTTTCAGTTTACAAAACTTTACTATATCAGGAATATATGCAGACAAAAAGTTTTACTGCTTGATTTTTATGAGTTATTTTGTGACTTTCATGTCTTAACTTCAGTTGCTTCAAGTAGATCATCAGATTTTTCCGCTTACATCTGAAGTTTTCAGGCGAATTATAATCAATACTCGCTAGGACGAATTTTAGAAGACTGCTTTCTTGTTGAAGTTGCTGATTACTATTAATTTCACTACTGCAATGTGCTCTGTTAGTGGAGCAAAGCGGGACAACTACAAGTAAAATTTTACGAAAATTTATAACTAGTACAAAAATTTTGACTTAATACTTAGCAACCATGAAGAGTTGAAGTGCAGAAGAAGAAAACTAAAGCAAAGTTGTGTTCATAGCTGGAAATAATAACTAAAATAAAGGCACGTAATTATGTGCTCTGTTTGCAACCGGTATGTACAATCATTTTAGTCATTACCATTGAACAAACACATGTTATGCTACTATTTGTTCTGGGGATGATGAGTAATCAGTAAATTGTCTCAAAATGAAGGAATATTTTCACTTAAAAAATTGAATATCTAAGATAAATTGAACTTTAAATGTAGGGTAATTATTTACTTGCAGCTAGAACATAGTTATTACTAGCTAAAATTATTACACTGCAGTTTGTAAATTGCCATGTGATGGAAGTTATTAATTGTATGAATACAAAGACATAGCTAGACTGCAAATTTCTGGAGAGTTCGTTTAGTTACTCATTTATTCATTTCGAAAGGAATAAATCGTACATTTAGTGCATAAGTTTTGGACAACTTTGGATTCATAAAGCATTTTCATTAAAAAATGCAATAAAATATTAATTTTAAATATACAGTATGCAATTGGAACACATGCAAAAAAACTTGGAAAATAGAACCGACTGCAGTCATAGTTATTCAAGACTAGTATAATCTGTGCAAAATTTGGTTGTTTATAGGTCAAGCTGTGAGTCAATCCAGTTGGCAGTGGTAGAGTTAAGTTCTGCTTCATCGGCTTCTATCAATTTTATAGGTTGGTTTCCAGTTATTACTGATGAAAGTGAAGAAGTTTGTAAAAAATTGCTCTCTACGCTTTTTCTGCTCTTTTGTTTGTAATAATATTGATGAGGACAGAACTCATATTGATATTTCAAGACATCAAATCACAAAATTCGATATATTACTATTTAAGTCAGTCATCTTTGGTGCAGGCAGTGACAAAAAGGAAAAATATGAGACGTGTGTAATAATCATAGCTATAGCTTCAATATTGTTGCTCATTTTCTCACAGTAAAGTGCATAATGTATCACTTTCAAAAGCAATTTTTATATATGCACATGAAGTTACTTTATATATTTTCAAGACATATTTTTTCAACAATCCAAAGCTTATGTCTTTGCATCGCTGTCAATATAAGAAAGCTATTCCTAACTGCGACCAATTTCTAGCAAATAAGGACAGTATTTATGAGCCTGAACTTGATCTTTTAGCTTTTCAGAAAATCTTCCACTTAACACTTTCACAAATAGATAGTCACCAAATTTTCGAACTCTGAACTTTCTACTCCGTTAAACTTGTATTGCAGTTTAGTTTAAATTTGCTATTTTATATATATCGCATCTCATTTGATTATTTCTCCTGTCATAATTTCGTTAAATACAATTTTCATCAATTTCAGGCAGTTATTGTTCTTTCGCATGCACTGACTTTATTTTTGAAAATGTCAGAAGAAGTGGCTGAAGAATCACTTTAAAACTATTTCTTTTTCCAGCACATACAACATTTAAGCCGTTTGTCCTCCTCAATAAATTAAATGCCTACATAGTCAAAATTCACTGTCGGAGACGTCTTTTTATACGTTGTAATAATAATATCTGAAGTTAACTGAAGTTAATCAGTAGTTCAGTTCATTCTAGAACAAATTCGTTGTTTGGTTATGATGAACAACGTGAACTCCAATTATTACTACCGAAACTTATTTAAATTCTAGTGTGAAGTTATTTCAATCCTAAAATCGCGATTAGTTG